TTCTTTCGCCCTGGTTATCACTGCGGTCTGTAAATTCACCGTGATCATGCATGCAGTCTGCTTCGCAGTGAACGTTAAATATTCCGTGCCGTTATTCAAAGAAGTGTAGGCCATTTTGTGCGGGAGTCGGGGTCCAATTTTCAAAAAAAAAAATATGACTTGCAAAGTACTCGATGGGGAAACACAGAAAACACCTCAAACCATCCTCCTGAAAAGGAGTCTTGAGGCTTTCCTGGGTAAGGTAAACAAGTGTAGTAAATATTACGTAAATGTTTTAATTGTAACAATTGTCAATCCACTCCCACAAGCCCTCAAATCAAGCAATGCCACATTGTTTTGGGAGGTAAACTTTGGAGTGTGCACGAGCTCAAATTGAGACCTTGGAGGAGTTCGGGGTGGCCACAGAGTGGGGGGGAGCTCTCGAGCCGTGTTGCTGACCGCCGGTGCCCCGTGTGTCCGCAGAGAGGGGCCTCGTGCTGGCGAGGAACTGCTCGCGCGACGCCGACTCCACCTGTGGCTGCGACTCGCATTCCTTCTGCGCCGTCTTCAGTGGCCAGCACTGTGAGCTCTGCCTGAGAAACTGGACGTGTGCGCGCAGCCCCGAGACCACGCAGGGTCTGTACTCGCCCCGTCGCCGGCGCGCCGCTCGGCGAAGGCTGTTTTTTTCTCGAGCACCACCACTGCACCACCCCCATGTCAAACATTACACTGCGTAGCCAGGTGCTTTAGGTGCCCTGTGCTTTGTCAGCGTACCAAAGGAAACGGCAATGGGATCGTGGTTTTGAATCCAAACAGACATCTGTGAGCTAACACGTAGGTTTTATCACGAATCAAAACTGATTCATGGTTAGGCCACGTAATGATCTGACCAAATACTGTATTCATAATTAAGACATTGAGCACCCAACACAGCTAAACAAATGTAACTGTCGCTCGGTGTACAAGCAATCATTGCGCCAATTATTGTGTCACCTCGTTTAGCAAATAAAAATTAAACGGTGGTGGCTGTCTTAATGACACGAACTTGACCGGATCATTACGTGGCCTAACCGCAAATCAATTCTGAATCAGTAATTTGTGATCAGCACAGTGCAACGAGCAGCCGGCTGCTGATTGGCTCATCGGACACGGTGCGACTCGTCTCAGTTGGGTCACTATCCATTCACCATACTTCCTCGTGCTGGTCATTGTGGATTGGTGAAGGGGGGGGGGGGGCATGAATAGTTCAGATATCACTTTTCACTGTCACCAGGAATCAAACTCAGATTGTCGGGTTCAGTGCGCAGTGCGCTAAACTGCTGCGACATCGCGACACACCACATCAAATTGGTTTCATGCCTCCTCGTCATTCAGATTATTGCAGCATTCCAGTGCATCGTACACTGTCTAGTGCTTGTTTAAATGTAACTTTCAATGAACATGATACTGTATATACTTTGATATGTTTACGTGGAGAGATAAGTAGAGGCGTATTGTCCGCTTATTGATTGTAATGAGAAAGCAGGTTCGGTGGCCAGATTTGCCCACCTCGTCTTCACGTCCTGGTGTGTCCCCCTACGCCTCGTGAGCCCTGGAGCTCCATGGAGTCATCCCTTCTCATTTCGTCCCTCCCCCCCACGTGTGGACAAAACGAATGAGAAAGTTTTAAATGAAGTATAATGGAGGCTTGGGTTAGATTAGGCTATGTCCATAGGCCAAACCCGTGAACCTGGTATAGAAACCATCCTCAGTGGTCGTGGAAATGGGGCATTAGAAATCTGTGGGATTCTTAGAATTAATGCATTTGATTGGCTCATAGAGCCGAACTGAAGAAATTCGTTAGTGACAGTCGGAAACGCTGCTCAGGCCTGAGTGGCCTGACCAGCACATTTGCCGTCTGTCACTGACAATCAACGGCCAAATCTCATCATCATCCTCATTCCGTGTCCGAGTCTAGAATACCATGGTAGATTTAATGTGCTGCGTTGTACTTGTGTGGTACGCGTACAGAGTAATGGCATTGTATGCACGTGGAATATCTGGATAGGAAATCCGCCGACCCCTGGGACCAGACAGATGGCTCAATCCTCGTATGCACGATGCCCCAGCCGCCTGCATGTGCCGCGTGGCAATGGGGACGCGTCCTTGCCAGCGCACGTCCAAATTGGTCACTCTGCAGTCCCGATGAAACGCGTTTTTCCACCCTGAAGATGCCACCTATCCGGAAATTGGCATTTGTGTTCGTATGACAGGAATTGAATTGTACCATACCGATGTCTTGTACTGGTATTGTGGTTAACTTTATGACAAGATACTGCAGAGGTTTCGTAGTCCTCGGGTTGACTGAAAAATAAGTGTGGGTTTGGTCAGTGGAAAGGTGGCATTGCTTTGCCATCCAGATTTTATTTTTTCCAACAATGCAAGTTAAGAATTTCGGAGTACTGGCGAGTCACAAGTTGCAAGGCAGCATTTTGTTAAAGGAACAGCTGGTATTAAAATACGATTTTTTTTTCAAGATTTTACTCAGAATTTTATTTTAAGTAGCAGGGCCATAGCTACTCACAGATCAGATGTAATTGTTTCAAACACTTTGTATTCTGTGCATTTCTTACAAATAACGATGTACAACCTCAGAACCACGCATGGTATTGATAATTTACCCAAAGGTGACATCATGTATCTGACCACAATCCTCAAACTGTGCTTCACGTGGTGGCACTTTCCAAGGCATTGCCACTTTGCAGAAAACCCCACGTATATTATGATCCACGATATTGGTCCCCATATCATGCGTTACACGTTTGGGATTAAACAAATCTAATTGCGGTGTATTTTTATTGTCCTTTGAAATTAATTTCGTTGAGAGTTTTTTGCACAAGCTTATAACACCGGTATTTCACCCAACAATGCTTCACGCGTGTGTGATTAGTCGCAGCATGTGAGCATGCCGAGGCAGATGGGAAACACGCCACGGATCCCAAGAGCGAGGAGCACATGGGCAGCATAGCCGCTGCATGTGAGGGGCACGTGCGAGCGCTTGAGATTCCTGCGCGAGCGCAGTACTGGAATAGCGTTGACGCTTGGCTACGTGCTCGTGGCGGGCACTGCCTCGACTCGTGAGCCTCCCACAGGGCCAGAGCTAATGGCGCTGCGAATGAGCCACGGAGAGCTCAATGTCGGCAGCATTGGTTCAACGCAAGCAAACTCTGGAACTGTTTCGACATTCAGTCTCTCGTCAGCAGAGTCAGGGTTGCTTGAACCAATGCTTGTGTTGCTCACCGCCGGTAACACATGTGCCTGACAAGGGCTTGGGTTTGATTCCTGACTCGGGCGCTTTTCTGTGTGGAGTTTATGTTCTCTCCCAGTTTTGCATGGGTTTTCTCCAGGTTTTCCGGTTTCCTCCGAAAGCTAAACCCACACACACAGTGGAACTGGTGTTGACCAAACATCCCAAAGCTGAAAGTGGAGCTGCACATTTCTCATTAAAGACATTATACACAGCAGCAGCATTGCCCGCTACTGTGAAAACTTGTCAGGAGCCTTCTGAAAAAGTTTTGAGGTTACTTAGCCACCACGAACGTTGCATAGGTCTGATACGTGTCCTTTTCACACAGGTAGCCTGCATACAGAGGCTGTGACACGCATCCTCATCGGGGTGTCCGTGTTCGCGCTGTGCATCCTGTGCATCACCGGATTCTTCACGTGCAAGTCCTGCGTGCTGGCTCTGCGCGCGCCCGGCCGGTAGCGGCAGCCCCAGTGACGGCAACGCGAGGGCTGGCACCGCACCGACGCACCAGGACACCCCGGCACCACACCGGCACACCAGTACACACCGGCACACCATGACACATCAGCACTGTACCACCACACCGGCGCACACCAGTACACACCAGCACTACCAGGCACCTCACCGGCACCTCACCGGCACAGCAGAACACACCGGCACACCAGGACACATCAGCACTGTACCACCACACCGGCGCACACCAGTACACACCAGCACTGCCAGGCACCTGACCGGCACCTCACCGGCACAGCAGAACACACCGGCGCACCGGCACACCAGTACACACCAGCACCCACTGCTGTGGCTTCACCATGGGTGGACGCGAGGCTGCGCCAGTGGAGCCGACCACTGCGAGTGCCAGATCCTCATCGGGGGAGGCCAGGATCGTGGCAATCCTTCTGCGTCAAGGAAAGTCAGTAATATTTACTGCAAAAAATACACCTCTCTTCTTCTTTTTGTACAGTTGCTGAGTACAGGCCCAAGGGCTCGAAATAGTAAAGCGGCCAGCAACAATCAACACCATCACAGTTGTAGTCGATAAGAATGACCACATTGCTTGCATTGAGCAAAGTTATTATAAGGGCTTGAGAAACGAGAGGATGGGAGGGAATTCAGAATTTGAGCAGTACAACGGAAAAAGCAGAAATAGAAGTGTTGTGACCTGCAGCGTGGTGTGTGGTTGAGTCAGTGAGTGAGTGAATGGGTGAATGGATGAGTGGGCGTGTTATCTGCAGTGTGGCGGTTGAACAGAGTGAATGAGACCAAAGTCAGTCTGGCAGACAGTGTCCTTAACACAGGTGGAGGCATCAAAGAATGACATTCAGACGAACAGTGACCATTGGTAGTAGTGATCGAAGAGTGATAAAGAGACAACTCATCACTGCTGAGGGAGGGGCTGGAATGAATCGGTGAGTGCTGGATCATCATTCAACCTGACTGCTTCACTCTGAATTCTATCAAATGTCGTGAGGTGGGAACTGGGTACTCCAGCCCAGGCACGAGATAACCTCTGTGGAGTGGCCTTCTATCTGTGCAGTGTGACGTGGCGCATGACGCGTACGCTCTAGCCGTGTTTTGCCAGGCACTGCAGCTTCAATGATGTGGCACTACCATCGTAAACATTTGTTTGATTCCGAACGTACAATATCTGGCAAATTTACTTAAATAATAATGAACTTTCCTCAACATTAAAGTGTGATTATATACAACTTATGATACAGATGAGTTACGTGAAAAAGGTGAAATAAATCTTTATTTACATAGCACACTCCAAATCGTCCATAATACAGGTTTTCTTTTTGGGTTAGATCGCGTAAATACATGTGTTGTTTAAGCCGCCACCACTCGACACAACCAATTAGTAAGGTTTTTCACATAAACATAACGAATTGGCATGTTCTGTTATTATGGATAATTTTGGTTCGCGAAAGCCCACATATTAAACACACTCCAATTTGATGTTGGTAAAATAACGTGCAGCGGTGAGCTCGTAGCCACGAGGCGCGTTTGTGAGTGGACGTGGTGTTGGGCGAACAGAACATTGAATCGGCACCACTCAGATCTTGCATTTGAATTCTAAGAATTTCCCCAAGGCAACACTGTGATCACTCGCATCATCTCAGTGTATTATTTATTATGATTGTACTCGAGAATCTCAACTCTCTTTATCAGGAGGGTCCTGCCAGGGTCTTCACAGTACGGGGTGATGTTGCTGCTCAGTAATTGCTGGTAATGTTGCAGCTTTGGGATATTTGGCAAATACCGGGTACATTATTGTGTTTTCAGACATGGGAGGAAACCCATGCAGAACGGGGGGAGAACACCTAATTTCCTGGTTGATTTGTAGCTCAGGGGTGGCAACTGCGGGAGCAACCCTGCCCCGATCCGCGACTCACGGGAACCGCACGAGGCCACTGCGCGTCTACAGGGCGCACGCAGGCGTGGTGCAGCAAAATTGTTATCTCGGCATGTGTTTCTTGCCCAGTTTTTATCATTCATATTAATAAACGCAGAAGACGTATTATATTGTGCTGATAAACATAAACATTGGGCCACGTGACAAATCTCAATGTGTGACAATTCATAGTTTTGCCAATGGCCACTCCCAACTGTATCCACATTGGTGAGGAGTACGAGCGAGGAAGACCAAACACGGGCATCCTTCTCCAGTCAGCCCAAGTCGATCAAAACACGGTGCAGTTTCGTGCAATAACGTTTCAACACCGGTACCAGATCATGGTACAGACCCATTCCTGCCACCCGAGCACAGATGCCAATTCCCACATTGGAAATTGTGGAAAGGCACCCCTCGTGCGATGACACAGGGGACAATTTACTGTCTCTTCTTCAGTAGCGACCTCTCTGCGTAGCCACACATCTACTTGTCCGTTCCTCCGGTGTCTCCACCACCCGATATCCAGCCGACCGACTTATGCAAAACTTCCCCTTGAGCCTTGCTCGACAACAATCATTTAAAGAAATGTTTTACGTTGCATGTGATGTGCTGACCTTTCAGATTCCATAACCATGAAATGCAGACACTTGAAAACATTGTTTCGGAGTAAACTTCAACGAGTGTTCTATTCAAACGAGGACCTCAGATTTGCTAATTCAGCTCTGGCAAAGGATGAGAATTAGGTCTCCGTTTAAAAGCAGACCCCTGGTCCCAATGGGGGTTTAACCTCGTCGTAAAGGTCACAAGTCTACGAACATTGGCGCTCAGGAACACGTGCCGGACTCCTTCCTGTGGGTGGCGACGTGGATCCTGAGATAGCGCATTCGCCACTCGTTGTGGAGGCTCACAGTTCGAATTCAGCAGTTGCCCTGGTTAATACTGTGGGCGTAGTAACCGTACTAACCATATGCGTGGACCTTAAAAATCCCCGCACGTTATTCGCAAGAGTAGGCCGATGTGTGCTGGCATCAAGATCCAAACTTGGAAAATTCGAAAATGACCCGCAAATTACTCAATTAGGAATCCACACCCAGCAGCCAAGTATCGTCCCCTACTGGTAGAATAATGCCCCAGGTCACACTTACGAATTACCCTATCTTGGTGTCTTGGGTTCCTACCTGGTTTCACAAAATAAACTTGGAACTATGATTCCACGTTTAGTATGAGAAAAATTTAACCCTCAACCTTCGTCCAAACAATCCCTTTAACTTGTAACAATTGTAATCTTCACATAACCAATGAGAGGGTGAATTCATAAAATGATCTCCAAAAATGTCAAATTACTTTCTGTCCTATGTTCATGTTTACATACATCTGGTACTGTGCTATAGTAAAACTGTAGCACAGTACCACACACACACATGCGCGTTTGTAATTGCAGACAAAACTATGATTGGTAATCTCTTCTGTAGTTTGGAGAACTGCTGTATTTAAAATGTGTTAGTTGTAAATATACGTTTTCTGTTAATAACAGGCGTCTGACACATCCGAGATTCTGTGCAGATTTACTTTAACTGTTTTATTTTATTTGTTGAACTGTTAAAACTACATAAAAGCAGTTCTGGGTTTCAGTTTGTCTCGTTCTAGCAACAACCATTGGCCAACAAGACACACAGAAGAGGTCATTTACAGGCGGAAAAATTTATTGGCTATTGGTTAATTAAAATATTTCACCTGGGAAATCCCTTGAGATGGAACATCTCATTTACAAAGGTGTCCAGGGCGTCAATTGTCATAGCCATCACAAACACATCATGCCGCATATACCAAGTCCATGGGATTGGTCCTCACAACCAAATTGTGGCCATACTATTGTAATGACGACTTGACACACTTCTCTTGAGATGGCACTTCATTGAAGACACATTCACCTGACACAGGCAGAGACCCCACTGCAACAGCCCTGAGTCTCCCACGCATCTCCCTTATATACCGACGGAGGCCACGCCCCCCTTCCCAAACCTTCTATCTGACTCTGGACGCTTGCTCCACCAGCAGACTCTCCCGTCTTCTTCCGTCACCTGACCATGCTCCATTCTTGATCATTCCCGTAGCCACGAGTCCCTTCGTGCTCACAACTGATACCCGTCATTACCTGCCATGGCCACTAGTATATTCGCACTGGAGGCTGACTCCCCTGTCACTACCTCCCCTGGCCACTAGTCCACTCACACTCTACTGTCATCACACTATCTTAGGCAACAGCAGGACAATGAGGCCACTGCATAGCGATGTCACTTTTGTGAGTGCAGTGTAGCTGGCATTAACCGCTGCTGCGTTGTGCCTCATGCTTACTAACCCACACATACACTCGCATAATCAGATAATTGGTATCACGAGTATCTTTCAAGACGTAATTATCTAAATCTTTGTAAAGGCCTTAAAAACATGAGAAAAAGCTGGCGATTAAAGGATGTTCTAAAAATGATAATCAAGTGCATTCGGTATTCGCGACATTCTTATAACGCAAAGTAATTATCGCAAAGGATGGCGCCGCTGTGTTTTGTAGACATAGTCTCCAGTGATTTCACAGCAGGGGGCAATGACGTTGCCGTGTGAAATCCCAATTGGCTAACTTGCGGTATCATTAAAAAAAATTGACAAATTTGGACCATGACACTGGCACGAAATGGCACGGGATGTTTAATGTCTATTGCGAAGAAGACAGCGTGTTTCACGGGCGATGCACACCTGGGAATAACCAGGGCGGCTAGTCGCATTCCAATTGCAACAACCAGCGAAGGCGCTACCGCCGGGCCACGGAGGACTTTATGGGCCATATCGGCCCATCGTCAGAACCGCCCCAATGTCAGTCTCGCTTTTGTGGCGGCTGGCGTGGCAAGGGGGGGTCACCGTCTCTGTAGGCCTCCACCAGCACCACTCCGGCGCACACGGTCACAAAACCGCACGCCGCACCCAGCGCCGCTACCGCGCTCGCGCCGGCCCACTCGCGGAACAGCACGGAGGATGCCGCCGTCACCGAGACGGTGAAGCCGGCGTAGTACACGGGCACCACTGTGGCCGAGCTGGACACGGCCAGTGCGCGCGTCAGATACCGCAGCTGTGCCGGCAGCGATACCGCGAGCACCGCCGCTGCGGCCAGCGCCAGCCGCGTGGCGTGCGGCGCGCCGGGGGGCGCCGCCGAGGGCAGCAGCTCCGAGACGGCGAGGCCCAGGCCCTTGGCGCTCGGCACCGTGAAGCTGCCGAACAGTGAGCAGATGGCGATCGGCACCAGCGCGTCAGAGCTTCCGGCGGGAGATGCCGCTCGCAGCACGAGCGCCAGCAGCGCCAGCAGCACCAGGGCCACGTAGACCCAGAACACTGCAGGGGTCAAGGGGAGACAGAGAAATCTCAGAGAGGAAGGATTACATGATCCCTGACTTGCGTCAGGGATCTATCACCCGGCCGGGTGGCTCAGTGGAAGAGCGAGCAGCTCGCCGTCGAAAGGTTGCGAGTTCAAATCCTGGTTGGAGTTGACTCAGCCCAGTGCAGTGAGCGGGTGAGTGAGTGTGTTGTTATGACCTGCAGTGTGGTGGTGGTTGGACACGGTGCAGATGAGACGAAACAGTCAGTCTGGTAGACCGAACCCTCAACACGAATGGTAAACATGTCCGTAGTGATAGAAAAGAGAAACAAAAGTGATGTAAAGGACAGAAAAAAGAAAGAGACCCTGTTTGGCAGCTGGACGTGGGTCTTACCTGGGTCAGTGAGGCGGTCCTCGAGCTCAGCCAGACGCTTGACTTCGCTGCCCTTGGGGGTGTGGACTGATGATCTCAATGCAACCGACACAGCAGAGCACGCACCCCAGTTTTCCGAGCGGGGACAGCCGCTCACCCAGCAGCCACGAAGCCAGCACGGCCCTGACAGTGGCAGCAGCACACGCAGCAGGGACAGTGACAGCAGCACACGCAGCAGTGACAGTGACAACACCACACGCAGCAGGGAGAGTGACAGCACCACACGCAGCAGTGACAGTGGCAACACCACACGCAGCAGTGACAGTGGCAACACCACACGCAGCAGTGACAGTGGCAACACCACACGCAGCAGTGACAGTGACAACACCACACGCAGCAGTGACAGTGACAACACCACACGCAGCAGGGACAGTGACAACACCACACGCAGCAGGGACAGTGACAACACCACACGCAGCAGTGACAGTGGCAACACCACACGCAGCAGGGACAGTGACAACACCACACGCAGCAGGGACAGTGACAACACCACACGCAGCAGTGACAGTGGCAACACCACACGCAGCAGGGACAGTGACAACACCACACGCAGCAGGGACAGTGACAACACCACACGCAGCAGGGACAGTGACAACACCACACGCAGCAGTGACAGTGGCAACACCACATGCAGCAGTGACAGTGACAACACCACACGCAGCAGGGACAGTGACAACACCACACGCAGCAGGGACAGTGACAACACCACACGCAGCAGGGACAGTGGCAACACCACACGCAGCAGGGACAGTGACAACACCACACGCAGCAGGGACAGTGACAACACCACACGCAGCAGTGACAGTGGCAACACCACACGCAGCAGGGACAGTGACAACACCACACGCAGCAGGGACAGTGACAACACCACACGCAGCAGGGACAGTGACAACACCACACGCAGCAGTGACAGTGACAACACCACACGCAGCAGGGACAGTGACAACACCACACGCAGCAGGGACAGTGACAACACCACACGCAGCAGGGACAGTGACAACACCACACGCAGCAGGGACAGTGGACAACACCACACGCAGCAGGGACAGTGGCAACACCACACGCAGCAGGGACAGTGACAACACCACACGCAGCAGGGACAGTGACAACACCACACGCAGCAGGGACAGTGACAACACCACACGCAGCAGGGACAGTGACAACACCACACGCAGCAGGGACAGTGGCAACACCACACGCAGCAGTGACAGTGGCAACACCACACGCAGCAGGGACAGTGGCAACACCACACGCAGCAGGGACAGTGACAACACCACACGCAGCAGGGACAGTGACAACACCACACGCAGCAGGGACAGTGACAACACCACACGCAGCAGGGACAGTGACAACACCACACGCAGCAGTGACAGTGACAACACCACACGCAGCAGGGACAGTGGCAACACCACATGCAGCAGTGACAGTGACAACACCACACGCAGCAGGGACAGTGACAACACCACACGCAGCAGTGACAGTGACAACACCACATGCAGCAGTGACAGTGGCAACACCACACGCAGCAGTGACAGTGACAACACCACACGCAGCAGTGACAGTGGCAACACCACACGCAGCAGGGACAGTGACAACACCACACGCAGCAGGGACAGTGACAACACCACACGCAGCAGGGACAGTGACAACATCACACGCAGCAGGGACAGTGACAACACCACACGCAGCAGGGACAGTGACAACACCACACGCAGCAGTGACAGTGACAACACCACACGCAGCAGTGACAGTGACAACACCACATGCAACAGGGACAGTGACAACACCACATGCAGCAGGGACAGTGACAACACCACACGCAGCAGTGACAGTGACAACACCACACGCAGCAGTGACAGTGACAACACCACACGCAGCAGTGACAGTGGCAACACCACACGCAGCAGTGACAGTGGCAACACCACACGCAGCAGGGACAGTGACAACACCACACGCAGCAGTGACAGTGACAACATCACACGCAGCAGTGACAGTGACAACATCACACGCAGCAGTGACAGTGACAACATCACACGCAGCAGTGACAGTGACAACATCACACGCAGCAGTGACAGTGACAACATCACACGCAGCAGGGACAGTGACAACACCACACGCAGCAGTGACAGTGACAACATCACACGCAGCAGTGACAGTGACAACACCACACGCAGCAGTGACAGTGACAACACCACACGCAGCAGTGACAGTGACAACACCACACGCAGCAGTGACAGTGACAACACCACACGCAGCAGTGACAGTGACAACATCACACGCAGCAGTGACAGTGACAACACCACACGCAGCAGTGACAGTGACAACATCACACGCAGCAGTGACAGTGACAACACCACACGCAGCAGTGACAGTGACAACATCACACGCAGCAGTGACAGTGGCAACACCACACGCAGCAGGGACAGTGACAACACCACACGCAGCAGTGACAGTGGCAACACCACACGCAGCAGTGACAGTGGCAACACCACACGCAGCAGTGACAGTGACAACACCACACGCAGCAGGGACAGTGACAACACCACACGCAGCAGTGACAGTGGCAACACCACACGCAGCAGTGACAGTGACAACACCACGCGCAGCAGTGACAGTGGCAGAAGGAACTGCAGCGATTTGACATCACAACTATGGGCATCATCAACACCACAATATGAATTCCACCATCTTCACCACCATTAATGTGAACTACATTGTCACTGCTACTGTAAAATAAACTACACGAGTGAACAATGTGCACTGATTTTCGTTCGCTCTCAAGAAAGAGAAAATATTTCGCTGCCGCGGGAGACCACAGACGAGCGGAGATGGCAGCCAGAACGGGAACGTACGATTAGCGCCGTGAGATTTCAGTGACAGACAAAAGATGCTAAATGTTTACCCGAATGGGATCCCAAAGGCACCCAGGGGTGTCACAAGTGTTGCTGGAGCCAGGTTGTAGGCAACAAAGTTCCCTGCTTGGCCCAGTGCCACTGAAAATAAAGTTGAGTCAATGTTCAAGTTAAACATTCATTTTTAATTTATACACAAAACTCGTTATTAATCGAAAGCTTAATTTTGTATCTGCAAACGTCCTTTTGCAAGGTGGATAAGCCCATTTTATTTTCACACAGTGCCTATAATTATTCAAAGTTTAATATAAACAAGTTATTGCATTTCAGTTATCCTCGCTGTTCAACCACCCCACGCTCAGGCCACAACTCTTCTGCTTCGCCCTTAGACTCCTCTACTTTGAAAGTCTCAACATTACACGCGGTTCTAGTTCGTACTTTTATGAAAAGAGAAGAAAAAACCCCGAAACATTTAGCCAGCTACAGCGCTGAGGGTTACTTGAACAGGTGTTATTGGGTAAGGGCTATTCCACAGACCAAACTCGGACATACGCCGCAGTCAGCCTAGGTCATTAAGAACCGGGCAGTCATTAGTGCGTCTGGGCTTGTTAATTCCTGCCACCCGTACACAGATGCCAATTCCCGCACTGTCTGGGTCAAACTTGGGTTGTCAGCTGTCCGAGTTGAACCGGCACAAGTGCTAGCCCAAGCTGTGGGTCAGTTCATTTATATCGGGAGTACAGCAAAACGCCACGCCGCTGCTCCCCACACGAACGTAGATGCGCATCGACAAAATAGTTAAAAAGTGCACAGAAAAAAAGTGTTGCACCTTTAACACGTCAAAAAACATTTGGATGTTTGTGAAAATGAATGTTCACGTAATGTTTAACAGAAGAAGCAGTGTCGGGTGTCTCTGTGGTGGGTTGTGTCGCCCTCACTTGTAAGAGTGCCGACCCACCACAGCCATTCCCTGAGGCAAGAGCGACCTGCAAATAAGACAGCGGCACAAGTGAGGAGGGTGCATTTTATACGTAGATTATGAAATTAATGATATCTGAAGTTGCACCTTGAGCTGTGTTTGCTACATTGCTGCACGTGGCCTGTGATCCAGTGTTGTGTGGAGACAAGGGGTTGGGTGGATCACACAATAATTGGTGAAACTCCCAAAGCCGCTGGACAGCGAGGTCGCCACCTCCTGGCTTGGCAGGGTATGGGCAGTACCGCAAGTGGACTCACCGCTATCTGTATTCCATCTGGACAGGGAATGAGTGCTACTAACCTTGCACACGTGGGGTTTCTCCGGGTATTCCAGTTTCATGCTACATATATAAACACTAATGAATGGAGTTGACCAAAAATCCAAAGATAGGACTACAGAGCTTGGGGAATCTTGTTTCTCGCAGGAAGTTCACTCTGAAAGCGAATGAAGTTCACTCTGAGAGCGAATGAAAACTATCCATGTTACAAGCCGTGTTCGTGGTTTGTTGAGTTAGTGGTGTGTTGAGTAAGTGGTGTGTGCATTGAGTTAGCGGTGTGCACATTGAGTTAGCGGTGTGCACATTGAGTTAATGGTGCGTGTGTTGAGTTAGCGGTGTGTGTGTGAGTTGCGTGAGCGGTGTGTGTGTTGAGTTAGCGGTGGGGGTGTTGAGTTAGCGGTGTGTGTGTGTTGAGTTAGTGGTGTGTGTGTGTTGTGTTTGTGGTGTGTGTTGAGTTAGTGGTGTGTGTGTTGTGTTTGTGGTGTGTGTTGAGTTAGTGGTGTGTGTGTTGTGTTTGTGGTGTGTGTTGAGTTAGTGGTGTGTCTGTTGTGTTTGTGGTGTGTGTTGAGTTAGTGGTGTGTGTGTTGTGTTTGTGGTGTGTGTTGAGTTAGTGGTGTGTGTGTTGTGTTTGTGGTGTGTGTTGAGTTAGTGGTGTGTCTGTTGTGTTTGTGGTGTGTTGAGTTAGTGGTGTGTCTGTTGTGTTTGTGTTGTGTGTTGAGTTAGTGGGGTGTGTGTTGTGTTTGTGGTGTGTGTTGAGTTAGTGGTGTGTGTGTTGTGTTTGTGGTGTGTGTTGAGTTAGTGGTGTGTCTGTTGTGTTTGTGGTGTGTGTTGAGTTAGTGGTGTGTCTGTTGTGTTTGTGGTGTGTGTTGAGTTAGTGGTGTGTCTGTTGTGTTTGTGGTGTGTGTTGAGTTAGTGGTGTGTCTGTTGTGTTTGTGGTGTGTGTTGAGTTAGTGGTGTGTGTGTTGTGTTTGTGGTGTGTGTTGAGTTAGTGGTGTGTTGTTGTGTTTGTGGTGTGTGTTGAGTTAGTGGTGTGTCTGTTGTGTTTGTGGTGTGTGTTGAGTTAGTGGTGTGTCTGTTGTGTTTGTGGTGTGTGTTGAGTTAGTGGTGTGTCTGTTGTGTTTGTGGTGTGTGTTGAGTTAGTGGTGTGTCTGTTGTGTTTGTGGTGTGTGTTGAGTTAGTGGTGTGTGTGTTGTGTTTGTGGTGTGTGTTGAGTTAGTGGTGTGTCGTGTTGTGTTTGTGGTGTGTGTTGAGTTAGTGGTGTGTCTGTTGTGTTGTGGTGTGTGTTGAGTTAGTGGTGTGTGTGTTGTGTTTGTGGTGTGTGTTGAGTTAGTGGTGTGTCTGTTGTGTTTGTGGTGTGTGTTGAGTTAGTGGTGTGTCTGTTGTGTTTGTGGTGTGTGTTGAGTTAGTGGTGTGTCTGTTGTGTTTGTGGTGTGTGTTGAGTTAGTGGTGTGTGCTGTTGTGTTTGTGGTGTGTGTTGAGTTAGTGGTGTGTCTGTTGTGTTTGTGGTGTGTGTTGAGTTAGTGGTGTGTGTGTTGTGTTTGTGGTGTGTGTTGAGTTAGTGGTGTGTCTGTTGTGTTTGTGGTGTGTGTTGAGTTAGTGGTGTGTCTGTTGTGTTTGTGGTGTGTGTTGAGTTAGTGGTGTGTCTGTTGTGTTTGTGGTGTGTGTTGAGTTAGTGGTGTGTCTGTTGTGTTTGTGGTGTGTGTTGAGTTAGTGGTGTGTCTGTTGTGTTTGTGGTGTGTGTTGAGTTAGTGGTGTGTGTGTTGTGTTTGTGGTGTGTGTTGAGTTAGTGGTGTGTCTGTTGTGTTTGTGGTGTGTGTTGAGTTAGTGGTGTGTCTGTTGTGTTTGTGGTGTGTGTTGAGTTAGTGGTGTGTGTGTTGTGTTTGTGGTGTGTGTTGAGTTAGTGGTGTGTCTGTTGTGTTTGTGGTGTGTGTTGAGTTAGTGGTGTGTGTTGTGTTTGTGGTGTGTGTGAGTTAGTGGTGTGTGTTGTGTTTGTGGTGTGTGTTGAGTTAGTGGTGTGTCTGTTGTGTTGTGGTGTGTGTTGAGTTAGTGGTGTGTCTGTTGTGTTTGTGGTGTGTGTTGAGTTAGTGGTGTGTCTGTTGTGTTTGTGGTGTGTGTTGAGTTAGTGGTGTGTCTGTTGTGTTTGTGGTGTGTGTTGAGTTAGTGGTGTGTGTGTTGTGTTTGTGGTGTGTGTTGAGTTAGTGGTGTGTCTGTTGTGTTTGTGGTGTGTTGAGTTAGCGATGCATGCGTTGCGTGGGCGGTGCATGCGTCGAGTGAATACCCCGCACCTGCCCTCTGCGCCCGCCCAATACCCATCTTCTGCACCACGAAGGAGGTTCCGTTGAGGAGGCTGCACGCGAGCGCCACGGCCACTCCGAGCAGTTGAGGCCGTCGCCTCCTCCATCTCCGTCTCTGTGAATGGCAGAAACCAATTTAAAACGTCGGCTTTCACGACCACTATTATCCATCGCATGACCAATATTGTATCCATTATTATGGATACAATATTATTACAATATTAGTTATGCGGTCTAACCCCAAAGAACACTTATGTGCAGAAATCAAATCGATTTCCAGACTGCCAGCTCGAAGAAGCGAATGTGCGGCCATGTCTTCTCCGACCTCGATTTTTGAATCGGTGGTCCGACACGACATTCGCTCGTCAGTGCCGGACATCTGGAGACAGGCCGAGAGCTTTAGTACAAGCAGCGCGCGTCGCTGTGCAGCGTTGGATCCGAGAGCAGAGGCGATCGGGGTCATCTGCTCGGTTCCTCGTCAGGGCGAGAGATTCCCCAGAGGGGCCAGGTTGGTGGTGGCTGCGGTGCCAGCGGTGGTGCCATGCACGGTGCATGTCCCGTGGCGCCTCAGACCTGCGAGCCGCGTGCGCCGTGGCGGGGCGAGGTCGCGTCCCCGCGGCGACCTCTCGACCCGAGTGGTCGCGCTCAGGACAGAGACCTCTGGCCCAGGGCTCCCCCCGCGGGATCGCGCTGCAGGGCTCGGCACTTTCCTCGAGCGACGAGTGAACTGACGCCCGTGCGAGGCGGCGGGAGCGGCGGCGAAGCGGGCGGCTCACGGCGCTTACCAAACCCCGGCCACCCGAGTTCGATTCCCGCTCACGGACCGCGATAGTTGGTGACGAATGTATGACCCGGTCCTGGGCCTCCTTTAGGTCTACTCAGCCTGAAGCTAGTACCATCAGCACTGGGGAGACCAAGACGGCCTGGCGTGGTGTTGGTCACCAACTCACTCGTGTGCCGTCCCGGCCTGAATAGGTGCTCGCTAACAGCACTTGCCCCAACAGTTTGTTAAAGGCTACCCGGGGGACCTTTGTCTTGGGTGGCGCCCGCCTGCGATCAATAACTTTGCACGCAGTGGCCGGTGGATCACAACATTGTGAAGAATGTCTCAGTGAATATGCAGGAGTCTCCATGAATGGGTAAAAGTCTACATGACTGAGTGAAGAATGAATGAGTGAAGACTGAATGAGTGAAGACTGAATGAGTGAAGACTGAATGAGTGAAGA